AATAAAAGGTATTGAAGCTACGTTTTGAGCATCCAAAACGCACCAACACTTTAGCTGGCTGCTTGTGCTCTTTACGTCAGACGTGTTCGGACTGTCGTGAAGCTCCTCTGTTGTTTTCCTCTGTCGGTCTCTGTTTAATGGTGGATGAAATAAAGAAAGTGGCGGTACTTTATTTATTTTGAGCAAGCGAACGCCGTGTTTCACAAGATAATTAATCCACCAGATAATTCAGAAGCGGTCTGTTTGGCGAGTTTTACTCCAGGAGCTGCGAGGCTTTAAAGCTACGTTCAGACCGAGCTCTGCCTCTGTTTACTGTCTGAACCAGCAGCTGATGCTGCTGACGTCATTACGCTTTTGCTTSATGCTGCCTTCAGGACAGGCATGGAAAACTCACCACTCTTACACCAAACCAGTCACAATGATGTGTTTAGGTACAGAAACATGGTACCGTTTGATGTTACGTGAATAGATACGCGGTAGTACCGACAGAATTCGGTCTGTACATCAAAAAGTATCTAATTCGGTACCCATCCCTACCCATCATGATGCTGCCACTGCCGTGCTTCACTGTGGGGCAGATGCTGAGTGGTGCAATGAGGAGAAGCTTCTCCACACAGGACCTCTGGAGCTCAGGTAGAGGTACCATCTGGTTCTTGGTCACCTCTATGGTCCTGCTCCCTGAGCTGCTCAGTGTGGTTGGGTGACAGTCCTGGTTGAGTCCTGGTTGAGCCAAGCTTCTTCCATTTCAGAAGCATGGGTCCAGTGAGGTCTGAGGAACCTTCAGAGCAGCAGATCCTTCAGATCTGTCATTTTGTCAACAGTTCTGTGCCGTCTGAAGTAACCAGGGTGGAACCCTGTGAGTCCCTTTGAGCCGTTTTCTTTTTAATAAACTGAGAAATTCTTTCAGGCTCCGACCTGCTGAAAACTCCTCTTAATAAGAAAAACTTGGGGGCCAGCGCATGACGCCTCGTCTAAATGAAACACACATTTTGAACAGGGTGAAGCTGTGTTTGATGCCTTTCTCYTTTGTTTTTCTACGGCTCTGGTTTATGAAACTTCTCACAGATTTGTGTGTGTGGGGGGGGTGGGTTTGTATAATAGTTTTTTGTGGGGAAAGAAATGAGTAAGTGGCTGCTGAAAAGTACATTCTTGCTTGTAATTTATTTCTGAGACGAGTTAATGTCACTAAATGTTTCTAATTGAGTCCAGCTTTGTGTTGGTTACTGAGTGACACCATCAGGGAGGGGCTGGGAGTGACGGGGGTCTCGTTCCTCCTGAACCTCCAGCTGGTCTGAGCTTCCTGACTCTCAGAGGAACTGGATGAGGGGAGCTGTGCCCCCACAAAGAGGCAGGAGAGCTTAAAGCTTTAATATAAAGCTTAGAATTAAAATTTTAAAGCAAATCACTAATATTTAAAAGAGCTAATGAGTCAGTCACAGCTGGGACAATAAAACAGCTCGTTACGTCCCTCTAGTGGACAAAGACCTAATGACACTTATTGTGTGATTGTTTCTAAAGCTTCAGAAGCAGGTTATTGTTTGTTCCGTGCGTTTTTCGGCACATACTGTATCTTGTTCTGCGATTTTTGTGATTTTTGTGCTATCTCACTGACTTAGTTTTTCAGCAATGTATAATTTATACTTTGAGATATTTAGCTTTRTCTGCCATTTTTCCTCATTGCAAACYAATGAACCTGTATTCATCATCCTTAAAATCCTTTAAAACGTTCATATGTCTTTACTGAATGTTTTACCTTATTTTCTGGTTCTGCTTTTTAACATTTTACTAATTTCAGCTTCTATTTTGTTTTTTTGTTTTTTTCTGCTTTTTAGCTATCATTCTGACCTATTCTGCTGTTCTAATTAAAAAATATTCTTATTTAAACTTCTTTCTGCTCATTTTAGCTGTTTTGAGCGTTTTGTAGCTTCTTACTGCTTAATTCAGCAAATGTGCTCTTTCTATTTTGTACTAATTTAAGCTATTTTAGGCTACTTAAATTGTTTTTAGCTGTTTCAAAACACATTTGTAATGTTTTTTCTTATTTTGCTTGGTTTAAATTGTCACTCATTCCTCGTCTGTTTATTTAAACTTGTTTCATCTACCTTTTAGCTTCTTTCTTGCTAATTTTAGCTACTACTTTTGCTCTTTTCAGATTGGGCCTCATGCAAGAACATGTTCGTATTCTTATCCTAAATTTCTCTTACTTTTGTTCGTATGAAGGGTTCGTACGAACATGTCACATCAGATTCAACAAACTCTTCTATCTTCATGCAAAGTGTGTAAATGAACTGCGTAAACTGATGAATGTGTATCAGGTGCTCGTGCACGAGAAGAGGAGATTAGCATAATTGCCACCCCAAAAAACACCATATAAGGATATGTTTCCTGCCACACATACCAGGAAGTGTTCATTCATAAGTGACATTGCAAAGTAAAAAAGAAGAACTAGTTCAGAGGTTGAAGTTCTGCTCTTGGAAATACAAAGAAAAAAGTCATTTTTAGCAGCGTCAGCTGTGGAATTAAAGGGTCAGCTTTGAAGCCGATGAATGAATTAACTACTGCTGTTAATGTCCTGTCTCCCGTGGGTCGTACAGTCACAGAAATAAAAATCTAACTCATATTTATCTCTCTCTGTAGTCCTGCTTCGGTTTTTCTTTGGTCAAATATTTTTAATTTCAGTGTAAACAACTGTGTTACAGGTTTCACTTATTCAGAGGGGCAGTTGCGCACCGCCAAACCCCCCCACCCAAGCAAGTGTAAGATGCGTTTCTGAAAAAATTGTCGCAAAACTTCAGTTAACTTCATATTAATATTGTAGTGCTATACAACAAAATTAATAGCAAAATTATTTTAATTTAACCAATTTATGTCATTAGTCTACATTATTACATTTAAAATTATATTCTAATTCAAACAGAATAACCTCTTGTCAACGTATTTATAGTATGAGTGTGATTTATTTTCAGCTCGAAATATCTTCAAACTAGTGAAATATAAAGTTATTAATGAAGAAAACCCGTCTGGATAACAGCAGACTGACTGCTSGTAAAATATACGACAGGTCTGGACCACTCBTGAATTTTGTTCGTATCTGAAAAAAATCTTAGAATACGAAAACATTGGTGAATGCCACAAATTCTCCTAAATCACTCGTACGCACAACTTAAGAACAAATCTGTGCGTATGAACGGTTCTTGCACGAGGCCCAATGACTGAATTTGAGAGTGTCCTGTAAGAAGGATTGGTGTGTCGGCTAACAGGAGCTGTTTGAACTGTTCCTCAGATAAAAACTGAACTGTAAAACTAACCTGACTTCTTCTCTTTGTTTTCCTGCAGTGCCTCTGGAGCCAACGTAGTTGCCATTGATAATAAAATTGAACAGGCAATGGTGAGTATTACTTGGTTCTTTTTGGAGTTTTGTCATTTTTCTCTTTATAAACATGAAGGTGGAGAGTCGTGCCGACATGGTTAAAGGAATATTCTGGCTGTTTTYAAAAGGATTTCTGACAGGGAAGCTGGTCCTGATCTAGCTTCAACTTCCAGGTTCTCACCGGATGTCTCTGTCTCTCATATGGTCGATGATATCAACCAGCTGATACCAGTTTGGGGCCACTTCAAAAATAAATTTAGTTTTAAAAACACTCCAATCTTCTGAAATAGCTGGTTTCAGTCACGTGGTTTCGAAGGCGGAGCAATCTCCGCTGGAGGGGAGGGGCTAAAATGTCTATGGAGGAAACTACTGTAGAGAGTTTATATTGTATGGATTTAGATCTTATTTCAAGATATATAACAACAATTTGTTCACAAATAAGTCAGACATGACTCGTATGATGAAGATGAATGAGTTTTCAACAGAACCTAAAGATTTGCTGAGGCTGTCGATACCACACGTCTTACATCACCAGGTAGTGCTGGTAAATAATAACCAGCAAATGTTTATCTGATGAATAATTCCACACATTCTGCCCAACCCTATGACAACACATGATAACACTGATTATCACACAAAGATGAAAAATGTAGAAAGCTCACAGAAAGACAACGTAAAAAGTGGATTTTAAACCGTCTGCGGTCGGGAGGAGCAGAATGCTGGTGCCTGCAGGCATCACTTCATTCAGAGGTATGRTAGCTGCTAACTTGTTTTAGAGGTTATGTTTATAATAATAGTTTATTTAGTAGTGAGTATTAAGTTACTGGTAGTTTAATGTGGACCTCATCTGGACTTTAGGCTGCCCTAGTTCTGTGTCGCTGGATGTTTGTTGACGTTAGCCGCTACTGTTAGCATGATCTTAACATATAAAACAATATCAGAACAAACACTCACCCTGGCAAAAAACAAACGATAATCATCGTGGAGCTGTTTGGTACCGAGGTTGTGGATCCACTCGCTGAATAAAAAGTTCTACACCTCCCGTTGTTTAGTGCTTTAGTGCGTTTGGTGTAGTTAGCATTCAGTTAGCGCCGRCCCATCTGCCCGGTAGACTGCTAACGGGACCGTAGAGTCCGCTCGGTGCTCGATCTTCTTCTCCTTCCTCTTATAATTGAAATAGTGAATCAGCTACTTCCTCATCAAAGTCCTCACTCTGTCTCCGACTGTTTTTCCTCCATCTCTGCCTTTGAGCTCCTTTTTCAAACTGCGGCTCGGTCCGACTCGATCCACCTGACCGTAGCTGGACTGGAGCTCCACATTCATCGCCTTTTTTTTTTCATCAAACGACACTAAAATAACTTACTAAACTTCACACTAACTATGAAATATAGTTATACAAATATTATAAACGTATTAAATTTCGGATATCTCATTGCTGACTTCCGATCTCGCTGTCTCTCCATCGCTGCCGAACTTTATTCAACTTCCGCCTCTTTTTATTTTTATTCTCCTGTAGATTTTTTGCCGCTTGTCTAATATTTTCAGGCTTCAGTCAGAAAGGAGTTTGGGGGGTTTATGTTTGTTCGGTGGGGTGGGGGTGAGACCAGAGGGTGGAATGAGGTGTTTCAGCTCTATTTTACATCCTGCTGCAACGTGCTTCAAACATGACGAACATTAATAAAAAAAGCCGTAATTAAATTTAATTTAATATATAATTTAATCAGTGTATAATTATTTATTACTAATTCAGTTAGAATGAGTGGAGCACTCGTAAACTACACAAGATATGGGCATTTTTTCAGAGAGCAGATCCTCCACTTTTTCCACTTCCTGACCTCCATCCAAACTTCACGCTTTAGTGGCGCTGCATCGTGACGTCACGTGAAACCCTCCTATTCTCTGCACTTCATTCAGATGCTAATACTCTTCAAATGTTTGCATCACAGTCCGCTTTTTCTTTTTTTTATAAACTGGCTTATTTTGACAGAAACATAAATTGCTGACAGAAGATTTGAATATAGGAGTTTTTAATATTAGCATTTGCACAAACAATGGAGTTTTTGATCTTAGTCATTTTAAGACGACAGGGATAAACTTCTTGATCCAGTCAGAATTGAACTATTTCTCTAAACAGAGGCTGTACTGTTTGTTTAATGTAGTTTTGTTTAAAGGTTGTTTTTTATATCAGATGAAGCATCCATTAAAGAGGACATATCCTGCAAAATCCACATTTTTAGCATTAAATACATTTTGTTGGACTTGAAGTCTCTAGGAGGCAGAAAAGTTAAACTTAGTCTCTGCAAACATATCTTTATTTTCTGTTTGGGTCAGATTTTACATCCTGTTCAGTTTCTTTATTCTCTGGCCCTGTCCCAATACTCGCACTCCCACCCTCGTTCCACCCTTGTGCACTTCAAATGTGCGTTCATGTTGAACGGTTTGTGTGTGTGGTGTGTCCCACATTCTCCACATCCGCCCTTCGCCCCGCCCATTTTGGGTACTATTTTCGCCCTTCTGCYAAATCCTCATTTTTACAGACTTTGGTGAAATGTATTACCCACAATTCATTGCTGCCAAAACAGCAAACATTTTTTTAAATAGACATTTATTGAACATTCGAGTATGGTACAAAAAATAACAATGCTGCCAAGAGAAATGAAGAACTATGAATGAAAAAAGAGGAAAAATATATGTATAAATATATGGAATAATAATAATAAAATAAACATTACCGTATTTTTCGGTCTATAAGCCGCACCCCCCAACATAAAAAAAACAGTACACCCAAATTTGCCGTCAAAAAAGTGAATTCAACATCAAAACAAAAAAGCAAACCTTTAAGAATTAAAGTTCGGAGGAATACGGTTCATTTAACTGTCCTTATT